CATAACGCTAAATTGAGCCGAATGAAGACTCCGACAAGTATAAGAGTATAAATTGCTCCTTCCAACGCTCCGAAGAGTATACGAGTATAAACTACTTCTCAAAACTCCAACAGGTATATGAGTCTAAACTGTTTCCTTTCTTTCACTGGAAGTTCCTGGAGAGTGCCATGCCTGGTACTCTTAAGGATAACCCGGTCACCCAACTAAGTATAATGTTGACCCAGTTTCGTGAAGGAAGCTGGGGGTGGATGATTCATGTAACAGGAAGTTTCCGCAAGAATGCTACATGTAATTTTCTTAGGGATAACCCGAACATTACGAACAAAGTGATAAACACTAAACTCCCACTGTGATTTTCAAACACTCTTTTGCTGAGACAAGATTCGATCACTTTGTTAGATCAATTTTCCCTCACAAAACTCTCATTGGTGTTTGACGACTCACAGTCTTCCACCACAAAAAACCCCACCGATCAGACTAATTGATGGTGGGACCAGCAAAATTCCTTTCGGTTGAATCCACTCAAACTTCTGATGCGTCTGTGCACTCAACATTCCCATTATTAAGTTCCGGACATAGTACTTGGAATTTTAACATCTTGATCATTGACGACTGTCAAACCCCTCCGTATTAAGTATTTGTCACTTAACACCAGGAACCCCTTTGAGTGATTTGTACGAGTCAACACTCCCACTATGATTTGTACTCCCACTCTTACTGTTCATTTGGTCAAAACTTCCTATAGTTAGGACCACAACCAAAATATCCTCTCGATTCCTTCCATGAACGAGATGTCCACTTTCAAATCGAGCGATCAAACCTTCCTACAGTTAGGATCGTCTCAAACCTCCCACCTGGTCAAACCTTCCTACAGTTAGGACCACAACCAAAATCTCCTCTCGATTCTTTCCATGAACGAGAGGCCCACTTTCAAATCGAGCGATCAAACATTCCTATAGTTAGGGTCGTCTCAAACCTCCTACCTGGTCAAACCTTCTTACAGTTAGGACCACAACCAAAATCTCCTCTCGATTCCTTTCATGGATGAGAGGTCCACTTTTAAATCGAGCGATCAAACCTTCCTACAGTTAGGGTCGTCTCAAACCTCCCATTTGGTTAAACCTTCCTACAGTTAGAGCCAAAATCGCAATTCACTCTCGATAAACGAGAAACCCACCTTTAGTTCGGTATTCAAACCTTCCGACAGTTAGGGTTATTTGAATCTTTTTGATTCTCGGAGTGGAGATCCCACTCTTAGTTTCGCCTCGCAGATTCTTAAAATGGAGATCCCACTTTGAGTTTCTTTTGCAACCGGAGATAGAATATAAAATTCTTCCTCTCCGGTGTCGGGTTCGTCTTTGCCCTGAGAAAAGACATCATCTTTTCAACTCATACGTGCCTCGCACGTACGGGGAATTTTATCCCGAATCCTAAGTAGGGATAAGTCAGCGCTTAACACGCGTTGTCGGTTTAGTCTTTCACCGATTGAAGAAGACACCAGAATCTAAAACTGGAGAATTTTATCCCGAATCCTAAGTAGGGATAAGTCAGCGCCTAACACGCGTTGCCGGTTAGTTCTCTAAGTAGGGATAAGTCAGCGCCTAACACGCGTTGCCGGTTAGTTCTTGACCGTAAAAAGAACAAAAGCCCACATATTTAACACGCGTTGCCGGTTAGTTCTTGACCGTAAAAAGAACAAAAGCCCACATATTCGACATTGTGGCAGACCGTTATTAATAACACCAAAATCCGCACCTTACATGCGCGGGGAACTTTATCTCGACTCCTAAATAGAGATAAGCCAACGCCTAACACGCATTGTCGGTTAGTTCTTGACTGTAAAAAAATAAAAGCTCACATATTCGACATTGTGGCAGGCTGTTATTAATAACGCCAAAATCCGCACCTTACACGCATGGGGAACTTTATCTCGACTCCTAAATAGAGATAAGCCAATGCCTAACACGCGTTGCCAGTTAGTCTTTGGTCGTGAAAAAGACAAAAACCTACATATTCGACATTGTGACAGGTTGTTATTAATAACACCACAATCCATGCCTTACACGTACGGGGAATTTTATCCCAAATTCTAAGTAGGGATAAGTCAACGCCAAACACGCGTTGCCGGTTTAGTATTCCAGCGATTAAAGAAGACACCAGAATCCGAGTCTGGGGAATTTTATCCCGAAGCCTAAGTAGGAATAAGTCAGCGCCTAATACGCGTTACCGGGTAGTCTATTCCCGTAAGAAAGACGAAGTCTACGTATTCAATATCACAGCACTAAAAAAGTTAACTCTTTTAGCACAACGTTTCATGCAGAACGGAATTAAACAATCCACATGCAAGCCCGATTCAAATGGTAATTGGTAAAAGCACGTCAAATCCGTTGATGGCGAGGATTTGCTAAAAATCCTGAGTCTGCATCTGATACATACGACCGGGTAGTCTATTCTCATGAGAAAGACGAAGTCTACGTATTCAATATTGTAGCACTAAAAGAGTTAACTCTTTTAGCACAACGTTACGTGCAGAATGGATTTAAATAATCTGCATGCTAGCCCGACTCAGACGGTAGTCGGTAAAGGCTAACCAAACCTGTTGATGGCTGAGAATTTGCTAAAAATTCTATAAATGTGAGAGTCATTGATGCACCAGTCCCATTAGTTGGTCTCGTGACTTGAGCATCCAACAACTTCAGAATAAGAGCCATACATGCAGATGAATCAGCTTTAACAGTTGGTCCTGCAGCCCCAACATTTGGGACCGACGCGCTCCAACACCTTAAGAGCATAAACTATGTAGACTCCATCATACGTACGAGTATAAACTATGTTAACGCCGATCAACGTGCTATAGTAAAGGTCGATGCTGGTCAACGCATTAGTAATTTTGCTAAAATAAGGCAAAGGATGATTTCAGGGTGTTCAATCGTATTCAGATATGAATTTCTGACGAAGATAATCAATTCAAAGTTAACTCAATAACACGAGCTAAATTCAGAAACTTACGCATCAACTTCAGTTCAAGATTTCGACAACGGTCAGACGATAAACGTAGCGCCGGAAGAACTTCATCTATTCGATAAAACACTGAATAGACTGAAGGCTAAAGAAGTCAAGAATTGAAGCAGTTTATAGATCCCTCTACGAGATTGAGAAAAAGACCTATCTTATCCAAAACATTCCAGACTCTTCTATAAAAGAATGAGTCTTAAATACTTTGGAGGGGTATCTGTAGGCGTCTAAAAATGCCTATAGGTGTCCGTACGCAGCTCGAAATAAAGAGTGGACGATTCAAGAAGAGTTATCCAATTGGCCGCTACGCACGCCAGTCAACTCGCGCACCTCAGTCAATGCGCGTACGTCAGTCAACACGCACCTGTCGGTCAGCCCACGCGCGTCAGTCAGCCACAAGTGACCAGACGCACTCGTCAGTCAGCTCGCGCGCGTCGATCAGATCAAAAGTGTCCGACGCGCCTGTCAGGCGGATCCAAAGTGCCTGACGTGCCTGTCAGGCAGATCCAAAGTGCCCGACGCACCTGTCAGTTGGATCCAAAGTGCCCAATGCGCCTGTCAGGCGGATCCAAAGTGCCCGACGTACCTGTCAGGCGGATATTAAAGTGCCCGATGCAGCTGTCAGGAAGATCCAAAGTGCCTGCCGTGCTTATCGGTCAGATCCAAAGTGACCGAACGCACTCGTCAATCAGCCCATGCGTGCCGGTCAGCTCCAAGTGACCGAACGCACTCATCAGTCAGCTCGCGCGCATCGATCAACTCCAAGTGCCGTAAAGAAGCTAACGAACACATGAAGCAAGTTAACAATGCGTACAAGTCAACAAGACGATCAAATACGCAAAACGGCAGAAAGTACAAATCCCAAAAAATCGGAAAACACGCCGACCCGCACCCGCGCGGGTCTGACCACGCCGACCCGCGCCCCCCGCAGGTCAGCAGGGCGTATCACATAGTTCCGACCCCAAAACGCGTTTTCGACAGTTTTAAGCGGTTTTCTCGGGATTTATCTGTTCCAAGGGTTCCCAACTGACTTGATATCATCCACAAACATGGTTAGATCGTTATTATCTGAAGATAAAGCCAAATCACTCATTCTTATCCGAAAACCCCTCAACCGAAGCTTATAAATACAGGCCTAGGGGCTCAGTTCAAAGAGAGAATATCAAGAGGACGAAACGCTGCCGAATTGGAGAGTGGAGCCACGAATTTACAACGAGGGGTTAGCTGATCTTGGCGAATTCCTGTGCATAAAAAGTGGAGTTCGAGAGATCTGAGACTCGTCCCCTATTCCTCCGGATTTAAGCTTAGTCTTAAATCTCGAGAAGAGCCGTGATCTCGCTTGGTCGGGATCATCGCTGCAGCGATTACTTCTTTCGTGAAGTAAGCGCTTTGATCAACTTAATCTGTCGACCGTATCTGATCCGTGGCGGTCCACTTATATCAACGTCCCCGGCACAGGGGAAGTTCCCACGCAAGCAGCGGGTGATAAACGTCTGTCGCGCTGTTTGACAAGAGTTGTACTTTTTGTATTTTTATTGTATAAGGAGATCTTATAAAAAGATCGACCTTTTTTTGTTTATTTGAGTTTATTGTAACGACCAAAGTTGTAATAGATTCGATGGCAATGAAAACATCAACTTTTGACCCAAACAATGGTTAATTTGGGTGTTTTTTTTTGGGGGGCGGGGGGGGGATTCCTATAAAAATCCCAAAAAAAAAAAGTTTTTTTGAAGACCACCTTTTGGTTTAAGGAGTCCTGGTCAATACAGTCTAAGCCTTTTTTTTGACAAAATTCTTCTCAAAATGGGGCCAAGATCAATCCCCACCCTTATTTTGAGTGGTTGCCAAACACAACAATAGCAATCTATGTATGACATGAAGTTAAACCACGCTTTGGGAAAATGTACCACTATGTAGTACAACCATTATCTTAGCAGTTTCGATGCAGTAGGTGACAATTTAATAGAAGCATACAGCATGCAAATCGGAGGCAATTAGATACGTCAAAAAAACAAATTCATGAGGACATAACCAGTCGAAAAGGCAAACGATGTCTTCATTCCCTCATCTTTCCTCTTTTTAAATATATATGTCTTCCAAGCTTCTCCCCTTCTTTCGGCCCCTTCACTAGCGTGTACACGGCTTCTCTATGGAAAAAAGCCCCTTTCCTCCATCATGATGAAGGCAATGCCTCCAGCACAACAGCCCCAAAGAAGGAAGAATGCCCACTTCATCAATCCTTCCTTTCTTCGACCCCTCCCCACTAGGATATCACTGACGAAACCCAGGAATGAAACTAGTGGTTGAAGTCATAGAAGCCCATGATCTTTTGCCCAGAGACGGAGAAGGCTCATCGAGTGCATTCGCAGAAGTGGACTACGATAACCAGCTAAGCCGAACACCAACCGTGACCAAAAACCTCAACCCCGTCTGGAACCAGAAGCTCGAGTTTCCACTCTCCGACCCAGAGAAACTCCAGACGCAAGGCGTCGAAGTTTCAGTCTACAACGACCGTAAAACTTTCCCTGCAGGCAGAAATTTCCTAGGCAAGGTTAGAGTCAAATGCTCGAATATCGTTCGTGAAGGCGAACAAGTCCTCCAAAGATTCCCACTAGAGAAAAAGTGGCTCTTTTCCTCTGTTAAGGGGCATATCGCCCTAAAAATCTACATATCTCCTAAACCCTTATCAATTAGTCCTCTGCTAGAAGAGGAAGAGAAAGAGGAGATCAAAGAGGCGATAAAAGAAGTTCAGGTTCAGACTTTCAGACACGTAGGCAAGAATCAGGTCGCACCTCAGAAAGGGAGGATTGTCGAGGAGAAACGTAAAGTGAATTCATCGGTGCCGACAGCTATGATGCATCAAGCTAAGCCGAGTTCCGCTGAGGAGTTCAAGCTGAAGGACACGAACCCGCAGCTTGGAGAGCGATGGAGAGCTGGCGGACATGGACGGGGTGGGTGGATGGGGATCGGAGCAGATAAGCTCACAAGCACTTATGATCTCGTTGAGCAGATGCATTATCTTTATGTGAGGGTTGAGAAGGCGAAGGATCTACCGACAAATCCATTAACTGGAAGCTGTGATCCGTATGCAGAAGTCAAGCTTGGCAATTATAGGGGAACTACCAAACACTTTGAGAAGAAGACTAACCCAGAATGGAATCAGGCATGATATATTTCAACTCACTCCTGATTATTTTGAAGTTGGTCTTGAGTTCTTTTTTCTTCATTTACTGAATGATTATGCACTATAGTATACAAAATCTCAAGTTCAACATGAATATTTACAATCACTTAGGACATTAATTAGCAAACTGCAGAGAGCTACTTGACAGTTCAATTTGTCTTTGAAATTTGTTTTAAACATTTATTATCTTATTATATCAAGAAATTCAAAGGCTTACGAAATTTAATGAATCCTTCAGGAAAAAAATTGACATAAATACTAATGTTTCTTCATATATTTTTCTACCAACGTCACACTTCAGGTGTAGGCTGTACTTAACGTTGATGTCATATGTTGCTGCATTTTATTTAAAACCTCAAATTACTATAATTAATTACACAATTCATCTGTGTGTCTTCAGTTATGATTCTCTTTATCACGTTTTCATTTTAATCATTTTTAGTTTCTCTTTCAATAACATCAACAACTTGTAACTTATGCCAACGGAGCTTTAGGTGTTTGCATTCTCCAAGGAGAGGATCCAGTCATCTGTACTCGAAGTCTATGTCAAGGACAAGGAAGTGGTGGCAAGAGACGACTATGTTGGTAAGGTAGTGTTCGATCTGAATGAAGTACCCACAAGAGTCCCACCCGATAGCCCGTTAGCCCCTCAATGGTACCGCCTTGAGAATCATCGAGGAGATGGAAAGGTGAGGGGGGAGATTATGCTCGCAGTGTGGATGGGGACTCAAGCTGACGAGGCATTTCCTGAGGCTTGGCATGCCGATGCAGCCTCAGTTCATGGGGAGGGGATTTATAGCATCAGATCGAAGGTTTATGTGTCGCCTAAGCTCTGGTACCTTCGAGTTAATGTTATTGAGGCACAGGATGTTCAACCTAATGATCAGAGTCGGGTTCCTGATGTTTTTGTCAAAGTTCAGGTGAGGAATCGCACTATTTATTCAATCATTTATCTCGGAAAGTATCCAAATCTGAATTGTACTTAGCTGGAACTTAGAATGGAAAAAAATTTTGTGAGATTTTCGACATTATACGGTCATTCATGCAATTTCTACACTTGATACGAGTTCTTGTGTAACAGGGAAGTTGTTTGATAGAGCTTGATATTTCTGATACTATTTTCTTGGGATGTTGTCCTCACTTCAGTCACTTAAACTAGCTTCTGGTGTTCTGATACCATTTGCTATGATTAATATCCTGTAATTACTCATTTAGATATTGTTCTAAACCTCATAGATTAAGTTTCATCATTGATATTGTTCATTTTAGAAGATAAATAAATCACTCTGATGTTGAACTACGTTTGAAGATAGACATGCCAATCTGTCATATTTTATATCCCGATACAAGATTCTGATCTCTATGGCAATAACAAGATCAGAAAATGGTCACTTATACCAGAACTCTTAACGAGTCATAAGCTTATCTTGAACTAATTAGCTAAGTTTTTCTTCCCTGAACATAAAACCTCTCCTCTTTCATGATAATGCAGGTGGGTAACCAAATGCTGAAAACCAAACACTGTCCAGCCCGAACACTGAGCCCTCTGTGGAATGAGGACCTCGTCTTCGTTGCAGCCGAACCTTTCGAAGAACAGCTTGTTCTAACCATCGAAGACCGCGTGAGCCTAACCAAGGACGAAATTCTTGGCCGCCTTGTCCTCCCCCTCACAGTCTTCGAGAAGAGGCTCGACCACCGTCCTGTCCACTCCCGTTGGTTCAACATGGAGCGTTTCGGGTTTGGCGTTCTGGAAGGTGAAAAGCGAAAGGAGCTCAGGTTCGCCACCCGAGTCCACCTCCGAGCCTGCCTCGAGGGCGGATATCATGTCATGGACGAGTCTACTATGTATATAAGCGACCAACGCCCGACTGCTCGTCAGCTGTGGAAGCAACCGATAGGCATACTAGAGGTCGGAATCTTAGGAGCACAGGGGCTTGTTCCGATGAAGACTAGAGATGGCCGAGGCACCACTGATGCGTACTGCGTGGCGAAGTATGGGCAGAAATGGGTCCGAACACGGACCATGATCGATTCGTTCTCGCCCAAATGGAATGAACAGTACACATGGGAGGTGTATGACCCGTGCACTGTCATCACGCTTGGAGTGTTCGACAACTGCCACCTTGGTCATGATAGGACCAACGGCGGAGGGACTCACGAATCGGAAAGGTCAGGATACGGTTGTCAACGCTGGAGGCTGATCGGATATACACGCACTCGTATCCGCTGATTGTCTTACAGCGGTCGGGGGTGAAGAAGATGGGGGAGCTTCAGTTAGCAGTGCGATTCACTTGCTTGTCTCTCATGAACACCATTTATCTCTACAGCCACCCACTTCTCCCTAAGATGCATTATCTGCATCCTTTTACGGTTAACCAACTCGACAGTCTCCGGTACCAAGCGATGAGCATAGTAGCGACAAGGCTAGGGAGAGCCGAGCCCCCCCTGAGGAAGGAGGTCGTCGAGTACATGCTCGACGTTGACTCGCACATGTGGAGCATGAGGCGGAGCAAGGCTAATTTCTTCCGCATAATGTCGGTCCTCTCTGGTGTCATAGGAACGTTTAGATGGCTTGGGGACGTGTGCAAGTGGAAGAACCCGATAACCACCGTGCTCGTTCATGTCCTCTTCCTAATACTCGTATGCTACCCCGAGCTAATACTGCCGACAATGTTTCTATACATGTTCTTGATCGGTCTTTGGAACTACCGGTTCCGGGCGAGGCACCCACCACACATGGACACGAGGCTGTCGTGGGCGGAGGCGGTGCATCCGGACGAGCTGGATGAGGAGTTTGACACGTTTCCGACGACTAAGCCACAGGATGTGGTGATGATGAGGTACGACAGGCTCCGAAGCGTGGCGAGGATACAGACGGTGGCCGGAGACCTGGCGGCTCAGGGGGAGAGGTTCCAGAGTTTGCTGAGCTGGAGAGATCCGAGGGCTACGTGCTTGTTTATAATCTTCTGCTTCTTGACGGCGGTGGTCCTGTACATTACGCCATTCAAGGTGGTGGCGCTGGTGGTCGGGCTTTATATGTTGAGGCATCCGAGGTTTCGGAGTAAGATGCCGTCGGTCCCCAGCAATTTCTTCAAGAGGCTGCCGTCGCGTGTTGACAGTATGCTTTGAGAGAGAGCTTGGAAGTTTTGGGAACGTGATGTGCATGGTTTGTGTTATTGTTGTCGAGCTTTCTTCTAGTTTGGTTTCGTTGTGTCGATCGGATTGGCGTAAAGGGAGAGGGGAGAGAGGAAACTCAAGGATGTCTGAAATAATGTGTGGATTTGTTAGGGGTTTTATCATACCGAGTTTTAGGCTTCGAAGTTCAAACGTATCAAGTTAGCTGGGCTGCTGAAGTGAGATGTGAAATCTACACTACAGAGCAAAAAAGTTAAGAAGAAGAATTATGAGGATGTTGTTTGCTGGTTATTGTGGATTACCTAACAGTCAACAGTGGGGGGAAAAAATATCAAACCACAATACTGAAGTCAATATTTTGAAGCTCTAGTTGAATCTAAAAACATTATATATTAAGAGCAGTCACAGCCAAAAATCAAAGTTTTTTTAATGAATGTCGATGGGTTCCGCTCGTAACCCTTGAGATTAAAACAAACATCTTTACAGATTACGTAATAAATAAATTCACTACTTCTGATGTTCACCAGAGCATAAGCAAATGGGTTATTTTATCAGCCGCTAGAAGAAAAGGCATGAGAAAGGTGGCAGACATAATGTTTTCACTAAAAGTGACAAGAATAATTAACCACTACAAGATGCGAATTCATCGACTTCCTCCGACTTTTAAGAGGATCATGTATTTCCTTTTGAAGCAAAGAATGAAGTCCAGTATTCCCCAGTCAACTGAAAACAAATGACGCCCCACGTTTTAGGATACAATGACATTCTCCAATAGAAAATTGATCCAAGTGAAAGTCATATATATGAAAGATACCAGCAGCAAGCAAAACAGTACATATAGACTCCAGTTAACCGAACTAGTGCAAAACTAAATGCACGCGAAACAATCAACAAGAATCCCCTAGAATAAAAAAAGTAAGCCTCTCATCCTTGACTCTAAATACTAGCTACAGCTAGCAACTTAAAATGCAAAATACCTAGGAGAGATCTCAAACAAGAGCATCCTCCGAACTAAAACTTAAGCTCATGTGGTTTCATGCCCTCGCTCAATGTGAATCTGGCGCCCAAGTACGACTTGAGATCTGGAACAGCTTCAATGGCCTTCAACAACAGTGAATCCACAGCTTTCTGATCGTCCTTCTTTTCCTGTGGGAGAGCCTTCTTTTCCTGTACCATAAGAACATAATACAAATGAGGGCATTACCTACCGAGTAGAAGCGAACACAATTGAAAGAACAATTAAACAATAGATCATTAGTAACTCAAAGAAACAAACCTCTTTCTCTCCTTCGAAGAACTCTCCGTCAGTCTTCTTCACCTTCTTCTTGCCTTCCTTTGCGAAGTACTCGTCATCAAACTTGTCAACATTAACTCCGGAAATATCAACCTTGGTAGATGTTCCAATCACATAGGACTGGTTAACACGTCGAAGAGGCACTCCATTAACCTTGAAAGGCCCTGCAGAGAGAGTAAGTAGCAACAGAATTATGGAATTGGAGATTAACAGAACAGGTGCACAATACATACCAGGCCCAAATTGATTGATCAACAAAAAAATGATAAAAATAAAATTCACCAAACAATTCTTAAAAAAAAAGAAAAGAAAAAAGAAGCCACCATATATGAATCGGCCAACTGTCTGCGAGATAACGCTGCATCGATATGTATTTTTTCCAATGAATGTAAGGTTTCCGATAGACTTTCTAATTTCGAATCAGAATGTTCTGTGCAGGGTATGCCAGTAATTTCATTAACACCTGCCAACATAGTCTTATTAAACAAACCATATTATGCAATGATACCTCCTTGCACCTAAAGTTCGAAGAGTTTGGCATGATTAAGGTAGCTCATTACTCTTAAAATATCAAAGACATAGCTCAGTACTCTTAAAATATCAAAGACATACTTGAACAATAAACTATCCAGTATCTTCTAAATTCAAATCACTTCCTTCGTATCTGTAATAGCCCAAACAAATAAAAAAAGAAGGAAAAAAAATTGAAAAATCACACTATTCCTATGTCGGTGATTCCACTGCCTCACCATGTCGGTAAAGTTTCCACTGCATCACAGTAGTATAAAAAGGAGGCAAGAGTGGAGAAATTTGGGTTAAAAAAAATAAATATATAGAAGAAGAAGAAACAGAGGAAACCAGTGACAGAAAGGGGAAAAATCAAAGGTATAAACTCTCTTCTTCCTTGTTTTTCTTTGATTTAAGAAATTAATACTTAACGTCCTAAGAAATTGAGGAGAAAAAAATAATAATAAGAGAATACGTACCTGGCCGCCGGCGAGTGCTATTGTTGACCATAACCGC